TAACTCTTATTTTTATTTTTATTATTAAAAACAAAAATAAGAGTTATGCCTTAACTTTTATTATAAAAATTGAAAACAAAAATTGAATTGAAATATCTCTTGAACTAAATTGTTCTGTAATAATTATTTTTGATTTTTATCTTAAAAATCAATTTTAATAATTAACCCTCAATTTTTTTAAATGTGTAACTCTTATTTGCGGTCCCTATTAAATGGTGATAATATTGTCTATGTTTATTTTAGATAACCTTGCCTATATTCAAGGTAAAAAATGTTGTTTCAATATTTTGCCTGAATTGATATACCTCATTCAGCTGGTTATTATATCTTGTTCCATCATAGTAATAATTTCTAATCTATTGAATTCATTATTAGAGACTAAAATTATTATAAATAATAAACTTGTGATTACCCTAAGAACTAAACAATGGCAAATCTTACTCTTAATTTGTAGATCTTAAGCGAGAAACGTCACGAACGACTTTTAATATCAATTTAATACTATCTAGGTCAATGACAATGAAATTTAGAATAAATCTTATAGTGCCTGCTGCTAGACACCTTTGGCTAGAGAGCTGCTTGAACCCGGCTCAGAAATGAAAATTGAAATGAATTAGTGAAAAATGAACAAATGAAAATGAAAATCTAAATTGGGTTTTAAAAGTTTGCTGTAGCTGATTATTGAATCTTCCCTAAGATTAAAGACTAATAAAATGTCTTGAAATAGAGTTAAAAATAACCTTAACTAACAGCTTACATATGGACGGCTGCTGCCTAAAATTCATCCCTGTTTGGGCTGGACAGGAGTTCTGTTCGAGTGCAACTATGGCTCGATATTTCATGAAAAGGAAGCGAGCCAAGGTAACTGAATAAATTAATTACCTGTAGAGTCGCATGTATATACGATTCGATTCGTTGAAGTCTTTTGTTGCGATCCCTTGTGATTGACATGCCGACAATTATCATAATTTGATGTTCACATGCCAAATGTCGAATTCATACGCCACGTTGGCCCGCAATGATGGCGGTGGCTGCTTGTGGTGGAGGCCGTTGCAAAGTCCTCGTGGACGTGGACGTGGATGTGGGCGTGTGCGTGGGCGTGGCGCGTCGTGTGTGCGGCATAATTGAAAGCTGCATGCGTCAACATAATTTTCTGACAACTTTAGTTAAGCATGTAAATTAAGTTAAAAATAACGATGACATTGGTTACATAAGCGCAAATGCATGCACAAGCTGCAGCAAAACTGAGCGGAGCGCAGCTAAGCAGCAGAGCTGTTGCAGAGCGGGCTGGGATGGGCCGCCCTGGGATGGGCCAGAGCCAGAGCCACTGCCAGTGCCAGTGCCAGTGCCGAGGCATGCCACAAACGGAGCACTGGCTGGTGGCCCGACCCTCTACCGGCCGTCACTTTGCGCATTTTTCTGTTGGAGCACTGGCACGGCTGCTCGTAATTGGAGCGTGGAATATCACTCTTCATGTTATGACATTTTTTCGCCAACAGCGAATTAATTGTGCACAGCAAAAAATTTGCTGGGAGATTTTTATGTATGGCCCATGATGAGAATATGCTTGGATTTGATATTAAAATAAAATGAAAGAAATAAAATAAAATAAAATAAAATTGTTAAAATTATGTATGTAAGCACCGCTGTGTCTATTTCTTTGTCTAACATTAC